AAGAAAGAAAGAAAGAAAGAAAGGGAATCTAAAAATTGAAAAACCAAAAATAGTTATAAAGTTCTATTTTACTTCTAACTTGTCATAAGAAACCATTTTTCTGTTTACCATCAATTTTTGATAAATCATTTAAATGAGAATCTAAATGTGACAAGTATGTTGTTCACGTACATGATTGAAAAAGTGATTAAATGAACATGTATTTGAAGTCATATGTAACAAATCAAGTTGCTAGAACTTTTAGCTAATATACATAAAAATTGGAAAGTTTAAATATTGAAATATGACTTCCCTCGCAAGAAGAGGTTTTCTAGTGTGCTAGAAATTAAATTATGTTAGAAGGATGTTATATTGTTATGTTCGGTGTTATAAAGAGGATTTGCTTTTTTTTTATCTGTTTTTTTTAAGCTTTCTTTTGTTAAGATATAATCTACCTTTTTGAACTTTCCTAAATTTTAAAATGTTTTTTATAGTTTTATCTAGTTCATTTTTATACGTGTGCCCAAGGGGGTTCCCAACTCGACAAAGTAAAACGAGATTCGATAAAAGAGGGCATATTTTACATGATCGATTTTATTTTGTTCACTTCCCGACTTTGACTATCTATATCTGCAATATTGTGTTAGATCATTAGTCAATAATATTTATTAATAAATTTATCAAAGTCATTATTTAGTTAGCGATTCTATCATAAAACAAAAAATTAAATAAAATCATAATTCAAAATTAAGGGAGGTAATATTAAACTCTAATTTGTGGAATTAAACACGCACACTAACATTATCGCTACGTTGAGAGAATACATTTACAGTGAACAACATTTATGTGCATGGGCCACCACCATTAAAAAAAACAGGAAAAGAAAATTCTTTTTTCTTTTGCATTTCTATCTTTTATTTGTAAAAAAATTTAAGAGTTGTCTTAATTAGTTGTCAGCAGCCAACTGCTGTCCAGATAAGCATATGATTTATTATTAATATATTTTAAAAAAATTCTTCGATCACATGCTTGGGGTGATGCAGGGCCTATATATACAGACGCAAGAGACACTCGGAAAGCACACACAAGTAGCCTTGTATCAGCGCCCAAATTTGAACTCCCAAAAAGATGGTTGTTCCGGCCATTGCAGTTGTTACGGTGATACCCAAAACGGGTGAAAAAATTCCTGAAGGACACGTCATCACTTTGAAGTTCGCTAGCAACGATCTGAATAGTAAGTCCCTACCACACGCCCCCTTCCATCGCTACCTAGGCTTGACAATTTATATATAAATTACAAACATTCTCTTTTTGTTATGTTCTAGAATGATTAAGATCCATCTCATAAATTTGATGTTCTAACTACACTACACAGACGAAAATGAAAAGCCGATGATCGAAGGCAGGGCTGAAGTGCAGGGCAGGAGAAGCAAGTCGGAGTCCCACATGTATGTGGCCAAAATTGAAGTTGAGGATAATTTTGGGGAGATTGGTGCTGTGATTGTTGAAATCCCTGAGAATTTGGATGAGAAGTACATCGAGACTGTATCTCTTAGCTTCTCACCATCTCGCTCAACTATCTTCAGCTGCAACTCATGGGTTCAACCCAAAAATCTTATTCCTGACCCAAGAATCTTCTTTTCCACTAAGGTTAATTTTTTACATTTAATTAATACCCTACCATCAACTTAACTTTTCCTTTAATTATGAGTGTGATTTATATCGGGAGTGTAGCAGTCATATTTGCCTGCACGCACACCACCGGGGCTGGTGAAACTGAGGAACGAAGACCTCGAGAATCTGAGAGGCAAGAGAGGCGAAAAAGATGGAGAAGAAGAAGAAGATATGAACGAGCGTCATGCGTTTGAGAGGATTTACAACTACGACGTGTACAACGACCTCGGAAATACTGATGAGGACATGGAGCTGAAAAGGCCTGTTCTGGGTGGTCCAGGCCGTCCTTACCCTCGGCGTTGTAGAACTGGTCGGCCTCCATCTGCACGAGGTACATAGTAGTATATGTGTATATTCAAAACGGTTAATTTAAACAGTAGTGTTACTGTTAACCACAATAATAATGAATGATATTGGTAGATCCACAGTCAGAGAAAAGGAGTAGTGCGCCGTTCTATGTTCCACGCGACGAAGCATTCTCAGAGGTAAAGGAGGCATTGTTCACCAAGAAACCGGTGACACCGACGCCTACATTATTGGGAACCAAATCATTTGACAACTTCGCTCAGATTGACTTAATGTTCGGAGATGGCATCAAACCCCCAAACCCACCCCCACCCCCACCCCAACCCCAACCCCAACCCTCAGGAAAATCCTCAGTCTTTGGACTTGTTGAAGGCATTGATTACTTGCCGCCAGTTTCCTACGAGAATCCTTATGCTTCTGATGATCATAACGACGACGAGAAGAAAAAACCGTCTGATGATTATGACGACAAAGACCCTAAGTCTGATGATAAGGAAAAGGAAAAGAAAATACAGCCGCCAGCTGTCATAAAATTCGAACCACCGGAATGCATGAAAAGTGAGTAGACTACTAGCACAATATAATTCAATTCAATTGCACAGTGTCCCGATTATTATGCGTTTAATTTAACTTGTAAGTACGCAGGAGACAAGTTCATTTGGCTGAGTGATAGTGAATTTGCAAGACACACACTTGCCGGTCTCAATCCTTACGGTATTCAGCGGGTCATGGTGAGTGAATTAATATATCAGTAACGTCTTAATCAATGCCTCAGCCTTTTAATTTGTTCTAAAAATTATATATTTTACCCCATTCAGAGTTGGCCGCTGACGAGTCAGCTAGACGAGAATGTCTATGGACCTAAACAATCAATATTGGACTCCAACCTGATTAACAAATTAATCGGAATTACTGGCATGACGGCTGAAACGGTAATTATACGGATGATGTTAACAATCTCTTATAATATCTTTGTTTTTTTACAACTGTTTTGGAATAATTTTTTCTATTTAAAAAAAAAAAAAAGAACTTGAATTCTTCATCAAATTTAAAAAACAAAATCACAGTTTCTAAAAATTATTTTTTTAGCTTTCAAATTTTGTCTTAGATTATAAAAACATTTTCAAAAATTAGATAACAAAACAATGAAGCACATAGGCATAAGTAGTACCTGTAAGTTTATGCCTCCTTTGATAATAAATTTGTTTATAGTTTTTTTGCTAATTTTAAAAATCATTCTTTATATACCTTTTTTATTGTCAACATTTGGCTATCATGAAAATGTTTTTACAAAACTGATAATTTTCAAAAATAAATAATAAAAAACAAAGTAATTAAAAAAAGGGACTAGGGAGTCTTAATTTTGAAAAACAGAAATAAAAAATAGAATGGATGTTAATAACATCTAATTAAATTCCCTTGATGTTTCCGATCTGTAATTTTTGTGCAGGCAGTAAGAGACAAGAAATTGTACATACTGGATTACCATGATACTTTAATGCAATTTGTAAAGAAAGTTAGAAGCGTTAAGGGCACGACGCTGTATGGATCAAGGACATTGTTCTTCCTAAACTCAGATGATAACACTTTGAGGCCGCTGGCTATTGAGCTGAGTCGGCCCCCCATGAATGGGAAGAAGCAGTGGAAGCAAGGCTTCTCACCTAGCACCACAGATGCAACACAAAACTGGCTATGGAGGCTGGCCAAATCCCATGTTCTTGCCCACGATTCTTGTTTTCACGAACTTATTGTTCACTGGTACATATATAATATAATATATAATATGCGGTTCATTTCATTATTTTCTTTTCTAACCCAGGTAGGATTTTGTTTGCAACCTCGGCTCAAGAAATTTTGGGTTTTGGGTGCAGGCTTAGAACTCACTGTGCTGTAGAGCCGTATATAATTGCTACGAACAGACAATTAAGTACAATGCATCCAATATATAGGCTATTGCATCCTCATTTTCGGTTCACCATACGTATCAACTCAAACGCTCGAGAAATCCTCGTGAATGGTGGAGGGATCATTGAGAGCACATTTTCAACTGCAAAATATTCGATGGAACTTAGTTCCTTGGTGTACGAGAAGGATTGGAAATTTGAGTTGCAGGCACTGCCCGAGGACCTAATTCACAGGTAATTATGTATTAGATAAATTTGAAATCCCTTCTTCTTCTTACTTGATTAATTAATTAATTAGATACAATATTGATTATGATTAAAAGGGGAATGGCGGAACGTGAGGGGAATGGTGTTAAGTTAAACATCCAAGACTACCCTTTCGCAAACGATGGTCTGTTGTTATGGGATGCCCTCAAAGAATGGGTTTCGCAATATGTGAGGCACTATTATCCAGGTGATCAGGCAGGCGATGTTCTGGTGCAGAATGATAAAGAGATCCAAAAGTGGTGGACAGAGATCAAAGAAAAGGGGCATCCGGACAAAAAGGGAGAAGGTATGTGGCCGAATCTTACAACCCGGGAGGAGCTCATTAACATAGTGACGACGATTGCATGGGTG